GAATGCCTGGCATTTGTACACTTGCTTGCACCGCAACGTCAGGTGCTTTTAAAAGCGCCCGGCACTGCGGTGCATGCAGTTGTGTAAGGGGCAAAATGCACATCAGTGCTGAGAAGGTGGCGGCAGCGCGCTTCTGAACTAAAACACATTGAAGGTGTTTTAGTTCAAAAGCACACCGCTGCCATTTTCTGCATGTTGACATGCATTTTGCCGCTTATACAACTGCACGTGGCACAGCAGTGAGCATCAGCTCACACGCGGAGCAGACTTGATTAATCGAGTCTGCTCCGACCTACTGGATCTCCGGCGCATCGCGAGTCAAAAAGGTATGTGTATAAATGCCCAGGATATTCCGACTACAACACAGCAAGTCATCCAGCAGAGGGAGCGTGTCAGCCAGCCATCCCTCCAGAAGCGTGCTGTGACCAAGGAGGCTGGCAGAGTAAAGAGTAAAACAACAATGCAAAGCCACGATCTTTTTTTTTTAACTGCCAGTAAAAAAGGCAGAAATCTGAGCTTTCCAAATGTTAGTGGGAAAGCTGGTAAAAATGCCCAGCCGAATTCAACCCACATGCAGGAATTGTATAGTAAAATTAGCAGCCTCCCATCACCAGCCCGCACTCCACATCTGGGCCTAGAATTAGTCAAGCTGATTTCACATTTTACTATTAGCCAAGAAAATTAGCGGCCTGTTCTGTGCAAGTACAACATAAACCAAACTGTTCAGCCAAAAATTACACAGGGACAGCTGGACAAAACCTGAAACTAGCTATCATTATTGCTGTTGGGTAAATATGGAGGGGGTCCAGAAGGGTCAGAAAAGCAGGTCTGTATATAATGGAGCTATGGAAACTTACTGTCAAGTGTTGGCTGTGTTCGAACACCACTGTGCCCATTCTGCGAACAAAGGAAAAATGAATTAGTCAACCCCCTTGTGGAGGTGATATTAGATACTCAACGTTCGAGCATTTAGCAAGCTTTGTCACTAAGTCTCCTATTTCCTTGCCATTTGAAATGAATGTAAACAAGTCACTAGTGTTCCTCGAACTTCACTATCCAAGAAAGGGGTCTTAGGTGGGAAGTCTGCAGGGATGCATATACAGAACTGCTCAAACTATGTCCATGTGAAGGAGGCCAAGGGGTAAAATATACATGATACAAACCTCAGGCTCCTGGGAACGATGATGGAAAAAACCCAAAAAAACCCAAGGCCGTAGAAATTAGCAACACAAGAGAACTACTACTGCCATACTACTGCAGCTATCCAAATCATGCAGATCAATGGAAAGACTAAAACACTGCACTGGAAGATAAGGTTGGAGAAGAAAGCAGTTGCTTGGATCATTCTGGAGTACAAAATTGGGTGTTTGCATTTAATCCTCGTGACCAGAGAGGAGCTGGTTCAGAAGACAAGTGTGGCTGGGCCACTAACAGAGGTCAGAGAATAATTAAGCTTAAAATCCTTCCCAGAAGGCACACCAAGCTATATAAAGGCAGTGTTACTGTACTTTAAGAAATGGCCTTGTGATCTTTAATATGTAAATGTGCAAATTCTACTTAGTCTTTTATTCTTCTATTTTATCAAACCTTTACACCATGGTACTGCCCGAAAGCCACAGCCAATTTGATCTCCACTGAGCACACCATGTACAAACGTAATACATGGAGGTTTTTACCCTTAAGTTACACTGACAAGGTACTGCACTCGCTGCGTAACGTGAATTTATGTTTTTTTTAAAAACGACTCGCGTTTCAGGATGAGTGTTTCACAACCCACAGTCAGAATGGTAGCTAGCGCAATTTGAGATATCAAAATATGTACCCCAGACTAATGGCCAGACCCTGTTCAAGATCCCCGGCATCTGAAACCTACTCACCGTGGCTGCGACAGGGGTTGTTTCTGATGGAGCCATGGAACTTTGGTATGCTATCCTGCTATGCACAGCTGTCTGGTCATAGGAGGAAGTTGTTACTGGGCTAGTGCTCTGAGATGAGCAGGTCAGACTGGAAGAGGTGATGGCAGAGGTTGTATAGGTGGACTCCTGTACTGTATTGGATATTGGCAAAGAGGTATTCAAAGGATCACTGAAAAAAAAAAGTAAAAATCATTTAGCATTTTGGTAAATGTCACCTGAAACACCTTCCCCAAAATACCAGCTGCCACACAGTAATCTAGAACTGAATACCTGGTTGCTCAGCTAGAAGTTGCTTACGCTAGATAACCCGAACGAGACGGAGAATCTATCATTTTGCCTAGGTCCGCATTAATCGGTTTCCGTTTCCAAGCCAGCATCTGCACTGAGCAACAGGGGGCATTTCTCCCACCCAAGACCAGAGTTGAGGCATCAGCACTTAACTACATTTTGTCATCCCATATTTCATTCTACTTCAAAAAAAAAAAAAAAAAAATCAGAACACAGTAAGATCTCCATTACGTGTTATATCCACAATGGACATCCTAAGTAGAAAGATAATTAAAAGATACAGTTAGAGATACTGGTTCAAGAAAAACCAGTGGCTGAACAGGTGTTTACAGGTATCAGAAGATACCAGAGCAACTTTAAGTCTGTCCAACTTCTACTGCTGCAGGAAAGCCTCCGCTTTCTAAACGTAGATAATCTCATTTAATAAAACTGTTTATTTCTAAAGGCCCAAATAGCTCCCTGTTTACAATGAGGACAGGCTATCTTTTCGGGACAGGTAAAAAATCATAAAGGAAGATCTCAGCATTGGAAGACAAGCAAACAAGTGATAAGTTCCTTGCTTCACACACCATCAGAATAGCCCTCCATCAGACTAAATCTCCTCCTCAGAAGCCCCCTACCAAAAATTAAGGGAAGAAATCTCCATGCCTCCTGCTAGTTGTGAAGTGTGTACAGCAGAAGGAAAACTGCCTTCCCAATGTCTCTATTTTCCAGACAGCCAATCACTTTCAAACTCCTGACCTTAACCTTTTCACCAGCTCATCTACCCTGTACTGCAGTTTTTTTTCCCTGATTTACACTTCCACTATTTCCAGCTCAGGAGGTTTGCAGCTCAATTACTTTTACCTTCAATATCCTTTTAATTCCTGGTGAAAACACTCCTCTGCTAAGAAAATGTTGGAATAGACTCCTGTAAAGGACCAAGCTTTAAGAAGCAACCTCATTCTACCTACAACAGACCACTCTCAACCTCCTAGCCTGAACGCCAACAGCAAGGCTTGTCCCAGCCTTAAGTGGCAGTCTTATAAAAAAGCCCCTGTGCTAGGCAGAGAAAGCTCATTCTTAAGTGTTTTTGGTGACAAGCAGCTACACCTTTACTCCAGGTGCAAAAAATCAGAACTCTCCCAAAATGAGAATACAAAGCCATACACTGGAGAAGCAAATTAACTTCAAACTGGGTCTTCTCACAACATCTTTATGTTTCCTTCCTATCAGAGGTTTGGCAATAAAGCAGACCCACTCGCATCAAAAGGAGGGGAGTGAATTGCCTTAAATACAATTAAACACTTCAAGACTTTTCTTGGAGATGCTCATGACTAGTCACAAGGCTGAGTTGAGTGCAAGGGGCATAGCCCGGCAGAGGGCTGGCTACTTTGGCAGCTTGTCAAAGCTGGAGAATCCCACAAGGCCCGGCAGTCTCGCTCCCATTTTTTGATGCCCTTCCCATACTGCAGCTATCAGGATGGCAACGTGCCAGAAGAAAAGAAGTGGGTCTGTCGTGCATAAGTAGTTTAGGAAGCATATTCCCTAGAGAGATTCAGATTCATCATGAGACACACTACTGAAAAGACTCAGACTCCAGAACTGTCTGCACATGCAAGTCAGATATGTGCTTGGAAGTGAGGCATCACAGTCTTTTCAGGTTGCTCAAAAGATTCACCACCGCCCAACCCAAACCTGAATGGCTACCAAAGTGCATAGCTTCGCCTTGCCACATGCTCTGGGGGTCCTTTCAAAAGTAAGGTGCTACCACAGAACCAGAGATTTTTCTAGGGTGAATGGAATAATGCTCATTACCTGGGGTTTCCCCCAATACCATGGCATCAGTACAAAAAGGTAATGACCATTCACTGAGAGATGGACAAGACCAATAAGGGTTTATGCGATCCACAGCTAGACTCTAGAAATAACATGCAGAAATCAGGATCTCTTATGCTGGAGAATGGAAGTCTTAATCGTATGCAGTGGGACGGGACTCGAACAGCTAGTGCGGAAGAACCAGAAACCATGATGGACTGAATTTCCAGAGCAATCCTAGTTTTCACATTTCCTCAAGGAAATACCTGAGCAAGAGCCATTCTCAACCCCAAGTCCCAACCAATGCTTTCCTCCCTACCCCAACCTTTTAAAAAATATGTGAGTAGTGAGGATAAAACTACAATTAAAATATTTAAAATGAGCCAGAAAAGTTGCCAAGGACTGGACTTTTACACCTTACGAAGCACTGGCTAAACCAGACTGAATGTGCTTGTTCTCATCTGATCTTGGGGCTTGGAAGCCTTTGGTCTGGCCAGTCCTCAGCTAGGAGATCACCTTGGAATCAGAGATCCCACAGACTCGAGCCAAGGCAACTTGGCGAATATCAGACCATAGGAGCCAAACGGGTGGCAAGACTTCATTTGGCCTATCAACACTGCTGCACAGATGGACAGGAATAGATGGAAGGAAAATACTGGCCAAGTCAACAGCAGGTACTATGCAAAAAAATGGGAAAAACAACAGACCAGGAGCTGTATACAAGAGTCTCCTTTTAAGGTAACACGGTCTCTAACACAATATTGCTTTCAGATCTACGTAGGACTCCAGGGGCAGTGATCTGCGACTACAGTACCACAGACAGGTGTTATGCAGTTCACATTTTGCCACCAGAATCATGACCTTGGTCCTTTTTGGATTCCTGTCCTAATTTACATTACAACAAGATAAGGATCCCAATCTCTGAAGCTGTAGTACCAACTTGCTCTGTCCGTCTTGCACACAGGGCCGTTATTCCCTTCCTCACATATCCTACTGTACCTGCTTAACTGGGAGAGCGAGCTGCTGGCCAAGTCGCTGGACTGGGGCAAGCTGGGTAATGTTGCCGTGTGCTGTGGTGCTGAAGGCAGAAGCGAAGCAGTGGTGGATGCCACGCTGGGAAGAGACCCTGCAGTAGGCAGCGAGGGTGAGGGCTCTGTCTTAGACGCTGGAACTGATGAAGTAGCTGCAAGTTAAAAAAGCCATTCAGAGAGGAATTCAAGCACACCTAACATGACGGGCAGGGCTCAGGGACACGGGGTCTCTCAAGGCAAGGTAGAATATTCCAACTGATCCATAAACATGTGACACATAGGTACTAGGAACTTTAGGACTAATTCTTGAAACATCCTTTTGTCACAACTTTGTCATTATCCTTTTTTTTTTTCTTCATAGCAGGTTCATGATCTTCACTGGTCGATTTTTAACAAATAACATTCCTTATAGTTTCTTCCTGTCACTTTGCTGTGCTTTTGCATGCATCTGCAGGTCTCACCGCCCACACAAACCCTCATACTGGAGTCCAGTCCTTTCAAATTCCACTTTGCCTATGCGGCTCCCATTCACACCAATGCTCTACCAATATAGCATGCCTTGCACAGCTTCCTCATGCTGTTGGACCTTTGCCTATGTCTCCGCCTGCCCAGAACATCCTCCACAGTCTTCGTACAACCTCCACCTCCTCCTCAGAGTCCTTCCTCAAGACTCACTGATTTTGGGAACTGATTATTCCTACCCTCATTGTAGGATTTTGTATAACAGCATTACTTACCAAATGCAAAAAACTCCTAGCTTTAAAAACCACATTCACCAAGCCCAATACAAAGAGAGAGGCACTACTGGCTTGTATGCAACTAAAATAACATTCTGCAACTTCCATAATCCTCCTCCCTTCTTCCCATATCACCCGACTCTTCTTGTAAAGTCTCATCTGCAAAGCTTAAGCTCCTTGAGATAAGGATCTGCTGTGTATGTCTAAATCTACACGTACCTATGCTTCTTCAGAACTAAAAAAAAATCATCTACAAACCACAGCAACAACCCCCCCTCAACTCTTTTAAACCACTGCAAGCAAGTTTAAGGTTGGCCAGATCACAAATGCAGCAAGCAGAATTTATCAAAACTGGGCAGAAATGCAGTACCTTTTTTCAAACACTGGCTTTAAAAATTGGTCGTGCTGACAATGAAACAAAATAAGCCACAGTCAAGTATGGCACTGTACCACTGAGAAGTTTCAGTGACCAAACGGTTAAATGATATAGCCTTGTTTTTCACCTACCCTGGAAATGCTACTTTCCACTGCATGCAAGCTAAAAAATCATCACCTCGTTATGAAGGCACCTTTCCAGGAGACTGGTGCTGTGTGATGTTTACATGGACAATTCTAGCATGCTATTGAAAACATCCTGCTCAATCTATGCCATTAATGTGTGACATCCCAGGAAGGCCCTCAATTAAAATATACCCAGGCGCTCACTTGACCTGCATACTGAAATTCAGTCATCCATCATTAACATTTGAAAGGCCAGTTGGACCGTACATGTACTGGTCTGTATCCTTGAGCAACTTGATTTATTTCAGTGAACATCCCTAGGTTAGTTAGACCTAATAAAATGCATATCTACAAAGAACACAAGGAAGAAGACTCAGTGTTAAGCATGTCCTCCATGGAAATTGGATAAGTGCTTGGAAGTTAACCATCATTGTCTTTTCATGCTATTAGTCTGTGGTTTCCCTCAAGGTGCCAGGACAAGCTCTGCACAAACAGATATGCAGCGTCTGCCTTGCCAAGCTTATAATCTGATTTTAGAAGAGCCATAGTGTCACAGATAAGATATGGGAACAGAGGGCACAACAAAAAATATAAAAGTATGTTTTTGTGGGAACTGAATGCACTGTTGGGTGATGCCCATTTAAATAAATGATATCCACGAGTCCCAACAGACACAATCCGATGCTGGCTGGCTGACTGACTTGTTGGCATTGAAGCAGAACTGTGGCTTGAGACGGAGTCCGAAAAGAGATGGTGATGACCAATCAATTCAGCTAAGGAGTTGCCTGCAAAGTGGGGTGGGCACAGAAAAAGGCACAGGGAAGAGTGAGAGACTCTTGAATGGATGAACAAGGCTGACATCCTTTGCAGAGGAAGTGGCAAGTCTGACACTGTATAAGCCAACAGGGCAGAGGGACAGTGTTATGAAGGACCTTGGTGCATGAGGATGATGAAAGCCAGGGAAGGGAAACAGAAGGAGTAATGTAGGCAAGGCAATAAACCACCATATGATGAATGGCTAGGAAGGTTGAGAGAGGGCATGATTTAGACCAGTGGGAGCTGACCCTTTTTGGCAGGTGTGCCACAAACTGGCCCCACCTTCTCCAAATGTCATTCTGATTTCCTTCCCCTCCCCAGTTAGCTGCTCTGCTTTGGGCTCCCTGCTCTATCAGCCACTGCACTGCCTGCCCCCTCCCTGGTCTGCTGTGTGCCACAAGCAGAAGCTACCCCTGGCCACTTGTGCTACAGGTTGCCCATCCCCGATTTAGACAAGAGGAGATTACAATAGCCAAGATACAGAATAAGGACTTAGACTAGAATTTTAACATCATGGACAGAAAACAAGGTCATAATTTGTATTATAGAGGAAAAAAAGAGAATGGTTTGGCTACAGACTGGACACTGACGTAAGGAAATGAGGAGGAGTTAGAGGCTGTCTCCTTGTTATGGATTCAAAAAGCAGAAAACACAGTAGTGCTCCTTAGCCCTCTTTCAGTCATAGTACAGGATTAGGGGTGGGTATTATATAGAGGCTGGTCTCTGGAACAACATGCATCTCAAATGTCACAAGGTCATCCAAGGACGGTTTGTTTTCCGTATCAAGAAGTCAGAGACATTGAAGTGGTTCTATCAAGACCTAGCTTTTATTACTTGGATTTTTACTCTCTAGTTACAAAGCAGGTCACTATACTATAGCACATCTGACTTGTGCAATTTGTGTGCAGGTGAGAAGTAAATTTCCAGTTTGAAAATAGTTTTATGCATTTTGGGAGCAACTGAGCTGGTAACTCCCCAGATCTATGTGTTATTCCCTGCCCTCCTCCAAATGAATGTAATGCTAGTGAAGCACATCAGGTTTACCGAGCTGGATATTCAAGCTCTACATTTGTAGGGTGACCATATGGTCCAGATTGGCAGGGACAGTCCGGGAGGCTGGTGCTGGCTGGCTGGGGCAGGGAGGCAGAGTGGCAGGAGCTGTGAAATAGGAAGCCCCAGCAGACAGCTAAATTTCCCATTGACATAGACTGTTACTTCACAGGTGATTGCTAACACCTGTGAAGTAAAGAATAATGGATTATTAACAAGCCATTTCCGCCCTGCAGCCTGCAGAGGGGGGCAGTGTCCCAAATTTCACACTGTCCCATGTGGTCACCTTATCCATTAAAAGAACCAGTATAAAAAGGCATTAAAAGGTCAAGGTGCCCCCTTCTCTGATGCCAAGTGTGACCGTCTGGGAGGCAGATGCCTCTCTCAGAAGTTGGCATGGGCACAAAGTACAGATGAGGGGGAGATGAATCTGTGCACGTCTTGTAGAAAACAGTGCAGATAAGGAAAGAGAGGGTACAAAAGCGACTTTTTTTTTTTTTTTTTTTGGTAATGAAAGTAACTCCAGGGAGCCAACCTTTAACAAAGATCAAGATAAGGACCCAAATGACCCTCTGAATGCCTGGCATTTGTACACTTGCTTGCACCGCAACGTCAGGTGCTTTTAAAAGCGCCCGGCACTGCGGTGCATGCAGTTGTGTAAGGGGCAAAATGCACATCAGTGCTGAGAAAGTGGCGGCAGCGCGCTTCTGAACTAAAACACATTGAAGGTGTTTTAGTTCAAAAGCACACCGCTGCCATTTTCTGCATGTTGACATGCATTTTGCCGCTTATACAACTGCACGTGGCACAGCAGTGAGCATCAGCTCACACGCGGAGCAGACTTGATTAATCGAGTCTGCTCCGACCTACTGGATCTCCGGCGCATCGCGAGTCAAAAAGGTATGTGTATAAATGCCCAGGATATTCCGACTACAACACAGCAAGTCATCCAGCAGAGGGAGCGTGTCAGCCAGCCATCCCTCCAGAAGCGTGCTGTGACCAAGGAGGCTGGCAGAGTAAAGAGTAAAACAACAATGCAAAGCCACGATCTTTTTTTTTTAACTGCCAGTAAAAAAGGCAGAAATCTGAGCTTTCCAAATGTTAGTGGGAAAGCTGGTAAAAATGCCCAGCCGAATTCAACCCACATGCAGGAATTGTATAGTAAAATTAGCAGCCTCCCATCACCAGCCCGCACTCCACATCTGGGCCTAGAATTAGTCAAGCTGATTTCACATTTTACTATTAGCCAAGAAAATTAGCGGCCTGTTCTGTGCAAGTACAACATAAACCAAACTGTTCAGCCAAAAATTACACAGGGACAGCTGGACAAAACCTGAAACTAGCTATCATTATTGCTGTTGGGTAAATATGGAGGGGGTCCAGAAGGGTCAGAAAAGCAGGTCTGTATATAATGGAGCTATGGAAACTTACTGTCAAGTGTTGGCTGTGTTCGAACACCACTGTGCCCATTCTGCGAACAAAGGAAAAATGAATTAGTCAACCCCCTTGTGGAGGTGATATTAGATACTCAACGTTCGAGCATTTAGCAAGCTTTGTCACTAAGTCTCCTATTTCCTTGCCATTTGAAATGAATGTAAACAAGTCACTAGTGTTCCTCGAACTTCACTATCCAAGAAAGGGGTCTTAGGTGGGAAGTCTGCAGGGATGCATATACAGAACTGCTCAAACTATGTCCATGTGAAGGAGGCCAAGGGGTAAAATATACATGATACAAACCTCAGGCTCCTGGGAACGATGATGGAAAAAACCCAAAAAAACCCAAGGCCGTAGAAATTAGCAACACAAGAGAACTACTACTGCCATACTACTGCAGCTATCCAAATCATGCAGATCAATGGAAAGACTAAAACACTGCACTGGAAGATAAGGTTGGAGAAGAAAGCAGTTGCTTGGATCATTCTGGAGTACAAAATTGGGTGTTTGCATTTAATCCTCGTGACCAGAGAGGAGCTGGTTCAGAAGACAAGTGTGGCTGGGCCACTAACAGAGGTCAGAGAATAATTAAGCTTAAAATCCTTCCCAGAAGGCACACCAAGCTATATAAAGGCAGTGTTACTGTACTTTAAGAAATGGCCTTGTGATCTTTAATATGTAAATGTGCAAATTCTACTTAGTCTTTTATTCTTCTATTTTATCAAACCTTTACACCATGGTACTGCCCGAAAGCCACAGCCAATTTGATCTCCACTGAGCACACCATGTACAAACGTAATACATGGAGGTTTTTACCCTTAAGTTACACTGACAAGGTACTGCACTCGCTGCGTAACGTGAATTTATGTTTTTTTTAAAAACGACTCGCGTTTCAGGATGAGTGTTTCACAACCCACAGTCAGAATGGTAGCTAGCGCAATTTGAGATATCAAAATATGTACCCCAGACTAATGGCCAGACCCTGTTCAAGATCCCCGGCATCTGAAACCTACTCACCGTGGCTGCGACAGGGGTTGTTTCTGATGGAGCCATGGAACTTTGGTATGCTATCCTGCTATGCACAGCTGTCTGGTCATAGGAGGAAGTTGTTACTGGGCTAGTGCTCTGAGATGAGCAGGTCAGACTGGAAGAGGTGATGGCAGAGGTTGTATAGGTGGACTCCTGTACTGTATTGGATATTGGCAAAGAGGTATTCAAAGGATCACTGAAAAAAAAAAGTAAAAATCATTTAGCATTTTGGTAAATGTCACCTGAAACACCTTCCCCAAAATACCAGCTGCCACACAGTAATCTAGAACTGAATACCTGGTTGCTCAGCTAGAAGTTGCTTACGCTAGATAACCCGAACGAGACGGAGAATCTATCATTTTGCCTAGGTCCGCATTAATCGGTTTCCGTTTCCAAGCCAGCATCTGCACTGAGCAACAGGGGGCATTTCTCCCACCCAAGACCAGAGTTGAGGCATCAGCACTTAACTACATTTTGTCATCCCATATTTCATTCTACTTCCTCATAAAGGGACTATCAATTATCTTTATATTCCTGCTTTCTGAATCAGCCTGGGTCTAGAGAGGCCATTTCCATGGTGAGAAGACTGTTAACCTGAGCCCCCTGAAAACTGCAACAGCATTCCAGCCCAATAAACGAACAGAAGACACAGTCGAAAGTAGCTTTCTGTTTTCCAAAATTAAAAGCATTAAAAAAGCATTGTAAGATTTTGGGTGGAAACAGTCTCTACATACTGGTATCAGAGACCAACTTAATAGGACCACAGGTCAGACCAAGAGCTTTAAGCAATACATTTAAATACAGGGCTGCAAACATGACAATTTAAAACCAGATTAAAATTTGTTTCTCTAAAAAATTCTGATTTTTTAACATTTCACTCTCTCCAGCACCACTGCAGACCTATAGGACTGGTGTGGATTCCATAGGAAGGGTGCTAGGTTAAAAACCACTTTTTGAAAGCTAAATTTCCTTGCCTGCAATACAAACTTCTAAGACAGTTCACACCGAAATACTAGTAGGTAGTTTATTTTTCATAATGTTGGATACTGAAACTAGACATTTCTCCAGTTTTGTTTATAATCTCTTCCTAATGCATGTCTCTTGGGCTTCGGTGCATCAGCAGAATGCTTCAGTGTTTGGTCTGCAAAAATTACAAGGGTGATTTTAAAAACAAAAACCCTGTTTGGGACTTTTAGAAACATTTAAAATCAGCGGAAGTTTTGTAAATGTTTATTTTTGCTATCCAGCTCTGGATAAACTTTAAAGGACAATTTATATTGAAACAAAACCCCGAAAGAACATTCAGGGAGTCAAATATACATGGCTGGTATGTTTGTATTGACTCTATTACTGGTTACTTTAATAAAAATAAGTACTTCTGCCTCCTTCAGAGCCTGGCTTCCTTTTTGATCCTCCAGTGACATCGGATTTATATGTATGAGGGTATATTGCCATTCTATGTTGGATTGAGAATGAGCGCACGCCGTCTGTGCAGAGCTAAGCCCTCAAACAATTTGGGAAATTAGCATTTTAAGTTTATCAGCTTAAAGCAACAGTAGAAGAGCTCCTAAAAGGAACATTTACATTCATTTTATCACTGCTCCAAACCATTTCTGGAAGGAAGACCCTAATTCACATCTAGACCTTCTCATTTTAGCTACCAATCTCTTTCATACCATTGCATTGTGCTTCCTAAGACAGATACATGTAGTGTCCATTGACAGAAGACACCTTTACCCTCACATGCCTTTTCTTTCACAAGATCGGCCTTGCAGAGAAGGCACAAGGACACACAAGCAGAACGCATACGTACTTTACAGGTTTGGAGTACAAGCTACTGGTGGGCGCCTGGCTGGTATTTTCATTGCTTGGAGCCGATCCAAATTCTGGGAGTGCAGGCTCTGACCCAAACTCCAGGGCTCCAAACTGAACATTTAACCCTGTCACATCAGCTGATCCAGGCATTTCCACTGCAGAGGCAGGAATCTGGAAAAAAACAATACACAACTGCTACATCTTCATGGAAGAAGACAGTCACCAGAACCACTTCTTTCTCCAAAACTAGCAATGCACTGAAAACAAAGGATCTAACCTGATTACAAGCACAGGCCTTGCCTTACTTTCACCTATCTAGAAGTCCTCCAGCTCAGCTCTTCTTTTGTTGGTCCTATATTTCTTTTGGGGGCTTGAAAGATTAGGCCATAATGTCTTGTGTCTACTAAAAGGTTATTGCATTCTCAGAATTCACTTCACCATGCCCAAAATTAGTCCAGAAAACTCAGAAGTGGTTGGATTTCCTCACAGAGCAATCCGATATGTGCTTGGAAAAATACATCACTGTCTTCTGGACTATAAGCTACACAGTTCTCAGTTGTTATGAGCAAAAACACATGACAACTATTATAAAATCATCTTGTCCCAATCACCTATGTATCCCAAAACAGATTTCCTATGCACTGGTCTCTGCTGTGTTACCCACCTTAGAAGCGGGGGGTATCCTCCGTTTCGGTGGTTTGATCTGTTTCTGCTGCGTCTGATGGGCTGACACTGCCTGGTTATCCACAGACATGCTGGGGAGCTGCAGAATTTTGCTAACAGCGGTAGAGCCGTCTACTGGCGATGGCTCTCGGAGCTTTACCTGGGAGGAAAAGGACTCCAACCCAGGAGGAGGAACAGGGACTGATTGCGTCTGCTGTTGCTGTCGCTGGCTCAGCTGGCTCAGAACTGGGGACGGTTCAGGCTGGGATTTAAAGTCTAGCCGACAATTTTTTGGGGGGGGAAAAAAAAAAAAAACACATCAAAAGTTAAAACGTCAAACCCCACAGTCTAGGCTTTGGGGCTTTTTCTCTATAGTTAAAGAATCAGTTTTATTCCCACCTTTCAAGGCGATTGTTTTACACCACATATAGACTCTGCCATACAACACTGCATTAGTTTGCATGAGCTTCAGAGCCTGAGCATTACCTTTGCAATCGTAAAGGCTGGCAACTTCATTTGTTCTTCAAATAAAAACAGATTCTAAGGCAGCATTTTTCTGAAGTAGAGGATTATTCAGCTATCTACATGGCCATGCAGCTACATTATACAGAAGACCTTACACTACTGGAAAGCTTTTGTATTATTCTATTCAGACTTTACACATCTCTGTAGCATAAGAAGCTTGCTGCAAATGGCACAAAAATATCTAAAAGTGCAATTCTAAGCAAAAAAAACAACTCACGTTTTTCTTGGCAATTCTTGTCTGAGAAATTACCACAATCTAGAGACAATATAAATTAGGCTTTCTGGCTTCCTGATTCTTAGAAGGGGAAATTGCCAAATGCATAAATAGGAGCCAGCTGAAAGCCAGTGGAAGCTGGGTGCCTACCTGCCCTTCATAAATTTCCCCTCAACATTTCAGTGGATAGAAGAGACTTACAAGCAATGGCTCAAACATCTAATCCACAACGCAGCAGATCTGCAGAACGCTGCTGGTCACACTGTGCCCATTTCTCCTTTCAGCTGCCGAAGTGCATTAGAAGGCAGCTGAAAATACATTCAAATACTTTCCTAATGTTATTTTACATGAATAATTGTAGTTCCTACCACACTGGCTGCTTTCACATTGACAAGATGATAACCAGTCAGAGCACCACTGGAAGTGACCACATATAGGCAGGCCTTTATTTCTCTTTACTAATCCTACTCAACTGTGCAATTGTGAATGAAAGGGATTGTGAACTACCTCCTTCTACACAGGAGGGTTAGGTATCCATGAGGACACATTTCTCAGACTGAGATGCACATTACACAAAAGAACTGGAGAACCCATCATAAGAAAATATCATTAACATAGCCTGGGACTGAATACGATGTTGCATGTATGTAAGCTCCTCAAGAGGCAGAAGTACAGACAAAATGGGAAAAACCGTCTTTCTTAGGAATACAAAAGAACTTTACATTAACGGTCCATTTACAAATAGATTTTAAAAAGTTACTGATTAATAGTTTTTAACAAATGGCTGGTCAATCATTACAGATGAGAGCAACAGGCTTCTTATAACTTTCTTCAACACCTTCCAAGAGTGTACTTAAACATCTACAAAAACACAGCTTACATAACCACTATTTATCATCTTTTATAAATAGAACCTTAGCATAAATGTGTGACCAAATGTATTATTCACCTTTAAGAAGCTAATTTCAAGAGTGAAGTCATTTCTCAATATTAAAACAAAAAAAAATCTTACATGCATTTCATACTGGAGTCAAAGGTTCACAGACAGAAAAACCAACAAAGCAACCAATCAACCCATGTGCAAACACTTACCAAACTGACTGAGGACAGAAGATTGGGTGATAGGGGGCTTTAGATCCCAGGATGATGTGGTGGTAGTGGTGGTGGTGGTGGTGGTAGTGGAGCTGCTGCTATTTTGCTGAGAGGTAAACTGACCCAAACCTGGAGATTTCAATTGGTCCAAGATCTGAGATCCAGTGGAGTTTGCCAATTTAGATGATGCAAGTTCTCCAAATGCAGAACAGAGAACTGAAGACTAGGAGAGGAACACACACACAACAATATTACTACTACTACTACAGCACCTGTTGATCCTTCCGGATCATGATCTACGTGTGAGAGATCACCCTTTGATGCATATGTCTAGGCAGGAGTATGGAGGAGTGGAGTCTGCCCAGACTTTCCATCCCCATTTCCGCCATTGAGACCAAATCTAAAAGTCAGACTGAGTCCAGACATTTGGTGTCTCCATGGCTGTAGTTTTATAAGCACCCAGGAATTGAACCCAGGGCTCCTGTGTGGCAGAGAAGGATTATACCACTGAACCACAGGGGCTACTACTACCACAACAAAAGCCAGGTATTTCAGGAACATAGCTCCAAGATAAATGCTTGCTAGCAGCTGACTCCTGACAATTTAATATTTTAGCCCAAGGCATTAAATAGGGAAAAACAAAACTTAACACTAGCAGCAGACCCAATGCTGCTGTCTCTCTGTTATAGCTCCATCCTCTATTAATGGAAACAGGTTAAATGTACCAAGCTAAAAATGATGCTATACACATAATTTAGTTTATGTAGTTCCTTAGCATATCATAAAGGTAAAATTTGCCAGGGATTTTTACTTTTTTACTTTTTGTTTGGAAAAAAAAAATACTTTTTGTTTGAAAACACATTCAAGCATCTAATCTCTGAACCTAACAAAGAGCAGTTTCATTAGCCCAGAAAAAGCAGAAATAGTTGGATTTCCACACAGCAGTCAGAGATGTGCTTGAAAAATACAACATGGCTGTTTCCAGGCTGGGAATTCTACAGTTCAAAAACAAGGTGTCTCATTTTAATCAACATGTACCAAACATCATTGCTCTACTCCCAGGAATCAATACAAAGCCATTCACTTAGCCTGACAAGTAACAGGCTAGCACACCAAAAAAGGTACTTAAGTGTCATCTGATATAGAGTGGATGAAGAGACATTTAGTTCATGTCCCTTTGTCTTCTCACACTTCAAAACCATTTGCAATTGCGATTTTGCCAATACCAAAATACCCTATGAAAGAACAAGGAACCATAGCTGGAGAAGTTGGTTAGTTTACTGCTTAAGATTTACTGTCTTAAAAAAAGCCCAGCAGCAGCAATGGTCGACTCTTACCAGACTCGGAGCTGTATAGGAGTTTACAGCACTGGAACTTGCAGTTCCTGATGCCATCTGGGTGTTATGTTGGGAATTCGTGAAGACTAAGGCTTGGCCAAAAGTCTGCTGTTGGGGAGACTCAAAGGAGTTGCCTTCTGTTTCTTGGCCGGAAGTCACAGGCTTCTGAAGCAATGTTACCAGATCGATGCTACAAGGGGGAAAAAAGGAGTTAAGATGGTATAAATTACTGAAGACTGAAGCGACTGAAAAATGAGAAAAAGAATCAAACAGTTGGGATCTGTGAGAGCCGCTGTGCTAGTAACCTTTGTGAACCCTGTCTCTGCCATACATCACTTCTCAAAGAGATGGCATGCAGGCCCGTTTAAACAGAAAGTCCTGTTAGCTGCCTGCTTTTACCGCTTCAAAATTTAAAGAAAACACCTATTTCAGTTCTGTCCTTTCAAAACAGAAACATAGTGCAGGCTAAGTATTGTTTCTCTGAGCATGTCTAAACCAACTATCACTATAGAAGCCAAGCACCTTTTGGCGTCTGTGGCAAGCTAATGGAGTCCCTACATGACTTGAGTAATTGAAGTAAGTGGTAAGAGCTGTCATTTCCTTACTTGAGTGGATCCTGTCACTCACTGCTTCGCATTTCTGCAACAACATCCTCAACCTGAAGACTGCGCAGCTTTTTACAGAACACTAATGAGTAACGGTTTCATCCTGGTTAAGATGGGTATACTACCCCCATTTTATACAGGGGAAGTCAAAAACGTAGCAACAAAGTCACTAGACTGTGGGGATTTTACAGCAAAAGCAGCAATGCAACCCAGGGGCTGAAACTGCTTCAGGGTAAATCGCCAGTGAGGACGTGGAACATCTCTGGGACAGACAGACAAGGGGTTACACCTATGGGGAGAAGGAAACAAAAACAAAAAAAAGGAGTGGACAGACAACGTAAACCCCTAGACCAGGGTTATAATCCTTACTCCAATGGAGGATTACTATTTAAAGAATGACAGTAAAAATCTACCAGTTTAAGTTATATCAGTTGGTGTCCATCCTGGGACAGCCATTTGCTAAAGGCACACAGATTACTACTTGTTTCCCCCACTGCTGAGCAGTAAGGTGCAACAACACGCTTACTGCATGAGCACTTCTAGAATAGTCACGTGACCATCCAATCCCAATCCCAGGCTACTGTAATCTACATGAGCATAAAAAACTTGAAATTACACCAAAGTATGTGTTTGCCTGTGTACACCCTTAGTATAGCATCTTGTGTGCTCTAGTACAGTTGACAGAGCCCAATATAGAAGCAAATGTATTAAAACATTCTGATTAAAGTTTATCCAAAACACACTGGACTGGTTTTGGCTGGAGCAGTGCTGAAGGTAGTAAAACTGAATATTTTATTGTGGTAGGGAAGCGGCTCTCAACCTTGTTAGACTCAAGGCACACACTGGAAAATATGAGTTCTTGGCTTTCACTTGTTTCTTGAATACGGAAAAAAAATAAGAGAAATTCTTCTATTGCAAAGAACTCAGGAAGACCACAAACAGGTCAATGTTTTTGACACCAAGGATTCCTATGTGAAACCTCTGGGTTGTGATTCATGTGTAGGCGTTTGCACACTTAATATTGTGCAGTACCCCACAGCACCTTTAGAAAGGATCTCAAGGCACCCTGGTTAAGAATCACTGCAGTAAGGTTATACGAGGACATTTTAAAAGACAACAATCACATGTGGGTACAAGCTACCAAGAGTTCTTCCAGCAACAAAGAGCAGAACTGAATTTAGGGTACTTGAGCATGACTCGAGGGCCACTTCATGGTTTGTGGAGCTGTTCGCATCAGAACAGTGAGCTATACATGTGCTTTCAAGCAGTAAAAGTAGAAAAGTAAGAACTGTAAAAACATTATTGGATCACAAGAGTTAACATAGAACTGCTGTTCTGTTTTACCCAGCATTTGTTTTAAAACATGGCAGAAGTGGGTGTTCCCCTTACTTTGCGCGGGGGGATTATGTCTATAACCAACTCTTTCGGAATAGTGAAAAAGAGCATTTGAGAGACTTTACCTCTGCCCAGGAGCGACATGGTTTTCAGCTGGAACAGAAGAAGCAGTGAAAACCTTGGTTTCAGAAAGCTAAGGAGAAAAGAAAAGTGGAATTTAAACATGGATCTATATTTTTACATGCAGCAAGAATCATAATAAAGGATTCAACCGTTGTTACAGGGGTGTAGGTTGTAGCTGTGTTGGTCTAAGGACACAGGCAGACAAGGTTCCTTGGGTGAATTTGATATCTTTTATTAGACCAACCCAAATAGTTGGAAAGTAGTTATTAAGCAAGCTTTCGGGTTCAAAAACCCTTCGTCAGGCTAAGGAAGTTTCAGCAGTTGACTCCTCAATCTACATTTTCACTGACTACCTGTCTTGTATGCATACCAGCCCAGCCGCTGGCTTCTTTACTTTTCATTCCATCCAGGAAGAGCACACACCGACTGCTGAAACTTCCTTAGCCTGACGAAGGGTTTTTGAACCCGAAAGCTTGCTTAATAACTATTCTCCAACTATTTGGGATGGTCTAATAAAAGATATCAAATTCACCCAAGGAACCTTGTCTGCCAACCACTGTTACACATTTAAGCATCAGTAATGTTAAATCAACAGCACAGTAACATACTGCATATATTTAAAAGTGCTAAAAGACAGATAAGCTTCAGTTAGGTGTCATCTACAATTCTGTACCAAATAAAATACTCTCTTTACTCGATTTTAAGACTATGTCACCCCCCACAACAGAATTAAGTATAAGGCAGTGGTAGGGACGGGGACAGGGGCAAGGCAGGTGGCTGCTGTGGCTACCTGGGGGCAGGGCCATAGCCACAGCTGCTGCCTGCCTCTCCTCCCCTGCACCCTCTGCTTCCCTGTCAGGCTTTCTTCCCACCCCCTTATCCTTGCTCTGTGCCAGGGAAGGGAGAAGCAGAGGAAGAAGGGGAAGCAGGGGGGCAAGCTGCTTGACCTCCCCATACTACCAGTCCCCCACTGTCTGACCCTCCTACCATGCAGGGGAGGGGATGAATTAAAGATGACCCCCAATAATTAGATTCTATACATGAACAATTTATAAATTTGTTATAATGTTCCATGTATAGAATCAAACCATTGGGGAGGGAGTCATCTTTAATTCAGGACTGTCTTAGATTTGAGTAAATCTGGTAAATTGCTATAAGGTCTAAGGTACACACAGAATTTTATTCCAGAATTTTTTTTTATTGAAATATTTATACCGTTAGAGACCAAAATGTAAATACAGCTAAACTGATACAAAGCCGTATATATGCACACTTTAGTTTATTCCTATAAATATCATAAGCAAAAGGGGGGGGGGGCTATATCCCAGAATAGCAAAGCAATATAGTTTGTATTTAGACAAGCCTTAAGGCAATGTAGATAAACAGTCGCAGCTTCCTAGTATGACTGCAGATATATAAATACCTATGAGTGTATAGCTGCTAGATCAATACAAGCCAGATTTCAACTGATACAGTGTCTGTCCCACAGAGCTGCACAGCTTTTAGTTTACCCGTATAAAAAAAAAGTCATTCCTTTAGACTAATCTGTGTATTTAGATGAAGCCTAGTGGAAACTAACTTACTCAAACAGTTCACAGGGATTTCACTAGAATTTGAAATTCCAGCCCCTGTCCTTGCAAAGGTTCGCTCGTACTCAGTGTTAAACACTGTG